TACCATTTTCGGCCAATTAAATATGGTAAAATGTGGATAAAACGGTGACAGCAAAGGTCGCTTCACACCTGGGAATTCAATTTTTTCCATTTCTTATCATTGAGATGCCACACAAGCATCCAATAAATATAAAGTCAATTTGACTCAGATGTCCATGAGTGTCTTCCCTGCTTGAAATGTCTAATTTACTTGCAAAAAGCTTAGCTGTAATTTGCTTTGAATTGCTTATTAGCCGTAAATCATTGTCTGCCAGGAAACCGTCACCGATGGGGCACTTAAAAGAGCATTCAAACAATAATTCGCTGATCAAGTTGCAATCTCCCAACAAAGAACCCATCACCTGTGACAGTTAGTTGTAAAAACATTATATAAATAACAAAGAGGAATTACAGAAGAAACAATACGGATGGGAACATTTATTTGGAGTGCAAGCTAACGCGCGAATGGGAAGCACCATGAACCTGAACTTGTTCGAGTATTATTGTCTTCCGAATAATAAGTTATTGTTTCAGATGTTTAATATAGCGGCCTGTAAAATCGCTTTTGTTCCGGGCGGTCATTAAATTGCTTCCGGAGAAGTATTGCAATATTGTACATTTTCGTCGGGATTTAATTGCGCCTGATTAAAGGAAAATAAGGGGGAATTAGATGATGCAATAAAAACTAATATGCGGCGCATCAGGTTATGAGACATCAGAATACAAATAATAAATCATACGGGTCAAGAAGGAAATACATAATCTAGAATAAGAAATGGAAGCACGAAGAAATCCCCACGACCAGTACAGGGTTATTGATTGAACTTTGGCCACCCTGTTATAACATCTAACTTGGAAATTAGAGAAAAATGTTAAATAAAATACAAAAGTTGTAGATATTAACGTCTAGTTTATTTTAATAATACTAATTGATACAGGGTGTCTCAAATTCAAGTGGCAGACCAAACTTACCTTTTTTTTAATGGAATGCCGTACTTTTATTGCATATTCCAACTATTCGCACAATTTTAAGCCTGCCCGATATAAATGCTCTATAATGATTTTGAACTGTTTTTGAGTTAATAACCAATATTTATTGAACTTTGGCCACCCTGTTTTAACATCTGATTTGAACATTAGAGAAAAATGTTTAATACAAAAGTTGTAGATATTAACGTCTAGTTTATTTTAATAATACTAATTGATACTGGGTGCCTCAAATTCAAGTGGCAGACCAAACTTACCTTCTTTTAAATGGAATGCCGTACTTTTATTGCATATTCCAACTATTCGCACAATTCTAAGCCTGCCCGATATAAATGTTCTATAATGATTTTCAACTGTTTTTGAGTCAACAACCAATATTTATTGAACTTTGGCCACCCTGTTTTAACATCTCATTTGAACATCAAAGAAAAATGTTTAATAAAAAAGTTGTAGATATTAACGTCTAGTTAATTTTAAGATAATAACAGGTGCTACAGGGTGTTTCAAATTCATGTGTCAGACCAAACTTACCTTTTTTTAAATGGAATTCCCGAATATTTAAATTGTTATTAACTCAAAAAGAGTTCAATATTCATCAATCAGATCATTATTGAAAATTTAGTAAAAGTGCGCCATTCCATTTAAAAAAAAGTTAGTTTGGTCTGTCACTTGAAGTTGAGACACCCTGTATCAATTGATACTATTTTAAAATAAACGTTATAAGAAAAGACGTTGTTATCTACAAGTTTTGTATTTAACATTTTTCTCTAATTTTCAAATTAGATGTTACAACGAGGTGGCCAAAGTTCAATCAATAACCCTGTACTGGTCGTGGGGATTTCTTCGTGTTTCCATTTCTTATTCTAGATTATTTATTTCCCCCCTTAATTTAAGTAAAAGTGAACATTAAATGGAGACAAAAAACAAGTACTAAGAACCACACTGGAGGAGACTCGTACATAAGAAACTATGGTTATTAATATGCAAAAATTGAAAATAGTAAAAATAATTTTTGCAACGAACAGTAAACCATCAGCAAACAGAAAAGGGACACTAGAGAGCTACAAACTGTTAAAATGAATTAATAATAATAACAATGTTCATTCATACGTAAGCCATAGCTGTATTTGTAAATGAAATTATATTAAAGTATAACATAAATATCACTGAAAGGTAGAAACACAAAAAACTACAACTAAATAATTATTATGAGAAAAGTATTAAAAAATGTCAGATTGCACAAGGGTGCTATTGAACATGTAGAATGACCAGAAAAACAGAACAGAAAAATAATTTTTCAAGATTTTGCTGAAAGAAGTCAACTGGTATTTTGGGTCCTTTTTTGAATAATGGAGTATGGAGTTTTAAAGTAGAAAACAAAGAGCAGGGAACAAGACAGAGCGAGACGCGCTTGGTGCAACAAAGTATGAAAAATACTAACAGGAAAGAATGACGAGAGAAATAAACGAGTGAAAACAATTTTGTCTACATTCCTACACCATTATAATTGAAGACAATTATCGATTACATACAAAGACGAAATTCATCGGGTTCCTGTTGGTCATTCCGCTCATCCAGTTGTTGAATCCTTACACTCAAAAAAAATTATCGTTTCCAGTTCCCCGCTTTGCATATGTAAAAGTTGTTTACCTTTTGAAGCAATAGTTTCCAAAAAAAGAAGTAAAAACGAGAGGAAAGTACTAAAGAAGAGCTGACATAAGCCTTGATCTAGACAATGGTGGTACCATCAAATTGAACTAGCGCCTCCACCATGAGCAAGCAGTAGCACGATGGTACCCTATCTGTCTGGCATGTTTTAAGTCGGAACCAGTTGCATTCATCATAATCATCGATTCAATGTCCAAATTAGACGCGCGTCGTCCTCATTTAAATTACGTCGATAAATCAAGCCGGAATCCGAACCGAAAGATCGGCTGAACGCAATTCGAGATGCACCTGTCATCGTGTCGTGGGTCGAACGGCAGTGGTTCTCTTTCGCTACCGGTACCACACCCAGCGGCCTTTGTACGTAACTGTTTAATTTGCATTCAATGCGCGATGGGCCTCTCCAAACCATCTCATTCGCATACGATTAAAGTGAGGATGAACAACATCTAACGTGGTACCAGTACCATTTTCAATCACTTTTGCCGTTTACTTGCTGTATGCAAAAAATCTCCGCATCCATGAAAATTATTTGATTTTTTTCAGTTCAGTATATTTGTTATAGGTAGAGTTACGAAATTAGTGTTATGTTAATAAAAATACTGACGGTATTAATAGCATAGACTTTAAATAGATATCATTAAATAATGGAATTCGTTAGTTGGAGAAGTTCAACTTTTATTAAGCATAATTGGGTGAATCATTTAAGCAAAAATACATTATTCGCAAAAACCGCAAACAAAGTTTATTGCGATTAGCACCGGATTGCGTGCACTGTCCGTTTGAAAAACAATACTCGATTTTTATGTCCGACCTACTAAGAAATTGGCAATCATTCCAACGCCCAAATTTTTCAATTTGCCACTAATTAGTATAATTAATTAACAGTTGCTTAAAATTCGAAGAAAAACGTATGTTATGAGGTTTACAACTGTAAAATTATATTCCATTTGCATTTATATTATCCACAAATTATCAACAGCACGCCAAAAAAAGTTGAAAGTATTTCCGATCTAGGGCAAATATGAACATTATTCCTTCACAAGAAACTTGCCTCGGCACTATATAAACTTTCTTATAATAACTGCTGAGAAAAATAAAATTGCATAAAGTTTTAAAAACTATGAAAAGCAAAAGCATCCCAAACAAATATTTCGAATGCATGAGTTGCAATGAACAAAAACCAGATTAAAGATATATTGTAAAAAAACAAAGGCTGCCATAAAATAACTTCTTTACGTAAATTTGATATTTTATGGGGAAAACCTTTCGAAACATCTTTGAACATAAATTTATAAGAAGAGGTCTTTCAGGAAACGTGTGTATTTTCGCAGATTCGTACTATTTGATACCCACCTTTCATCAGAGTTTATTTGGAGAATTATTGATAATTAGAGTATTTTCTGTAGCTGTAGTAGTCTTTACTGGAGGACCTTATTTAATAATTCCACAAAACGCGAAATCAATTCAAAGATTGCGTAAATCCATCAGTTGAACGTAGATTGGGTCAACCCACAGACCCTGGGAACATAATCGCATAAATTTCGCATAACAAACGCGGCTGATCGGTTCTAATGGCGATAACTCGCTTTAATTGATCAAAACCAGACACCCTCCATAGGGAGCTTACGAGTTATGCCACTCATACGAGGAGTAAACGAGTTTAGATAATGATCTTGGGTCTATTATAGTTGTTAGCGATGTGTTAATTGAGTTGCGAGTTGTTGTTTGCGTTGCTGCTAAGGTAAATTAAAATCGCTAAATCGGAAATCGAGTTTACGATCTAAAACGGGGACTCTCCACGATGGACAACCTTGCTCGCATCTTGGATTTTACTGGGAAATTCGTCCTCTCGGTAAATCGTACTAAACTCGTGGAAAAGTCTCGGTTACACAATTAGTCTTCGTCGAGTTGTGTAATTTCACATTGCGGAAGACGCGGTTATTATCATTAGTGCACTTTTTCTCTAATGCTCGTATGCAAATGACCGCAGCCTCTAAAGAAGGTGCCAAGAGCTAATAATTTAAGTAAATACACATAACAGTTAGCTCATGGGAAAAATGCTAAAATAAATTGCCTAGTATTTATAGGAGTGCACTTTGCACATACTCTTTTTATGGTAAGTGGGACGAAAATGCCTGAATTTGCTTGTTCTATGGCTACGACTATTAATACGTCGCACAATGGAGAGCGTCATGGTCAGTGTTAAACTGAACGAGATGCACTTATAGCCGTGCTTAAAAACCTAAATCACTTTGCGACCCCATTTTCCGCTACTACTCTTTCAGGTCAAATAATTATAAGGATTTTTGTCGAGCAGGATGCTAAAGGGAACAACTGGATTTGTTGCGTGAAATTAAATCAACGGTGTTCACTGGATCAGTTTTATTATTTTCTGTCATCTAAACTTGCATAACGTTCGAAGTCTTTCACTCTGGACTGAACAAGAAGGCTTAGCGCATAGTACAAGACAGTCCTTGCATATGTATTTCCATACTTAAGCCTCGTTAAACGGACACCTTGCTTAATCTAAAAATTCAATTAACTATCTAAATATGCCGTAATGCAATTCAATCTTTCCTGTTTTATGTTTATTATATTGTACAACTTTGTTGGTTAATGTAAGCTAAACACACATTTATCAGGTACTGTCGTAGTGATTTATATTAAATGTTTAAAACGAATACAATAAAACAAAGCCAGAAAGTTGATTCGCTGCGAAATCACATGTCGAAAAGGTATTAAAACGATTAATAACTATCTAAAAATAAGTACAGAATAACTATATTTACTAAATAATAAGAGTAACTAAAAATAGCAGTATGCAGTAGATACCAAAAGTATTTCTACTGATCAGATTATGATATCTAGAGAATGTTGTTCTATTGAAAAACGCTACTCACAATCGACTAATTATTCGGGTTAATGAATAATCGCAAATCTTGTAGAATTAACTCAGCCTTTTTAAATAATATTGACAAAAAACAGGTTATTACTGATATAATACGAGGTAATATGGTTTTATCGTGAATTATTAAAATAGTAGTCATACACCGATTCAAATCAGAAAAAACCAGGTCAATCTGATATGCAGGTATGCATGCATCTGATAACTATAAATAAGAATTATAAGTATGAAAAATTATTGATATCAATTACCTTTTTTAATTAACTCGCACTAATTTCATCTAAGAATTAATTGACCGTGGGTAGTGCTATCAGTCAAACAACATTATTTCAATTATTATATACTATGTCTATATGTACAAGCACAAGAGTTCAGTTCAAAATGGATTGTTATCCATTTCCTGTCAACCAAGCACATAAAACCTAATCGATGTTAAGAAATATATATATAATATCTAAAAAATAATATAATAAAATAAAAATTCAGTTATGGCTTCTCTTGTCTTGTAATGTATAAGTAATAAACGTATAAAAACGATAAACCTTAAATTATTAAATTAGCTTAATTTGATTTTTGCTTATTGTAGGAGTTAATTCGGTTCACCTCGCCAGATTCCATACTTAAACCTGAAACCAAATGGTGAGTGATGGCTGGAGAAATACTCGACAAGCTCTGGTGAGTGAATTTCATGCAAAACTTTAATCAAAAAGTACTATTAACATTGAACGAACAAAACGTAACCAAGGAAAATCATCTGTTCTAAATGCGACCCCGTAATGACTGAAAGGGTGAATCACAATTCATTTACGCAATAGAATTTTCCAGAAAACAACAGTGTAACTTTGCCGCCTGTACAAGAAATTATTTCAGGTTCATTAACATTATCTAACTGAGTATTGCCGGAAAGATAATGACATAAAACACCCACCTACGATTGCGTTTACAAGTAGCTAAATATAAGCAAAGCCTTGAATTTTTACCGGTTTCTTTTCTGTTCTGAGTTCTGCACATTCGTTTTTAGAAACGGGAGATAAATAATTCTGTCCTTCAATAGCGGGTATATTCTACACCGAAAAACCCTAAGAAAATGTCATATTTTTGAACCAGTGTGGCACAGCGGAGGTAGTTGCTTTTAATAGGCTCGTTACCGGGGACCTTCAGAATCGTGAGATTGAATATTTTTATAAAATAATCTTGAGGCATCCACGTAAAAGGTTTCTGAATCCCCGTAGTTTTAAATAATAAAGTGCATTTTTGAAAACGTTTTCAAATTTACAACAGCAAAACAATGTCATACGAAGGTTTTTTGAAGTACTCGCAAAATCGCATCGTAGCGGGTTATTCAAAATGTTTAATATACCGGGTGTCAATTTGAGAACGTCCCACCATTAGTATCTTTCTTGCAGTTGAAAATATGAAAAATCGGAAAGACCCGTCAATTTTATTTGTAAGAAGGACACTTTAAATTCATATTTTTAGCCTCCTTGTTTCAACCCTTTAAGAGAAATAATCGCGTTTCAAAATTACAGAAACTATTAAACTTGTCTGCATTGAGATTTTGGTTTTCAGATTAGTGTCTAAACAAAAATTTTGTCATTGGGTCTCTTTATTGTACCAATGATTAGAAGATTCGGGTGAACCGTTAAAATCGTTGAATAACAGGAATAAAATCTAGTTTAAGCAATTGATTTCGGATTTATTGATTATTCTACTTCGCGAAAAATAACTTTTTATTTACGGAAGAGAAATTTCTACAATAAAACCCATGGGAATTACTTACGCACTATCTTATAAGTTGTTCAAAAAGTTGTCTATTTTCCAGTAAACAATAATAAAGTCTATTTTCGAACCCCCCCTAACATTGATAAGATATTCCCGGAAAGATCGATTGGCAGAAGGGGACCAATTGAATGGCCGCCAAGATCTCCGGATTGAACACCCTTAGACTTCTTTCTTTGAGGACCTCTTAAGTCAATTGTTTATAAAACACAACCTGCTGATATTGATGATCTATCTTAAAAGACAAATTGCAGCACAATGCCGGTCAATTCCCGGTAAAGTGTTCCGAAAAGTTAGGGAGGAGTTTGGAAACAGACTTTATTATTGTTTACAGCAAACCGGACATAATTTTGAACAATTTAATAAGATAGTGCGTAAGTAGAAATTTCTCTTCCGCAAGTAAAAAGTAATTTTTGTCAATGTAAAATAATCAATAAATAAAAAATAAGATCAAACTCAAAAATATTAAATCAATGTTTAAACTAGATTTTCTTCCTGTTACTCAATGATTTTAACAGTGTAACCTACTCTTCTAGTCACCTGTATTACAAGGAGACCCAATACAATAATTTTTGTGTAAACAATAACCTGAAAACTGATATCTGAATGCAGGCAAGTTTAATTGTTTCTACAACTAACAACTTGAAACGCGATTATTCGAAAGCCTCTGAACAAAAAGCAACAAAGTAGTAACTGATATAAAGATAATTGAACGCCCTTTAAAACGATGTGTCACTTGACCCCACTTCCCATTTAAGATTCTGAGGGTGACATCTACCGGTCCTAGGGGGTTGAAACAAGGAGGCTAAAAATATTCAGTTAAAGGGTCCTTCTTACAAATAAAATTGACGGGTCTTTCCGATTTTTCATGTTTTCAATTACAAGAAATATATTAAGGGTGGGAAGTTTTCAAATTGACACCCTGTATATTGCTTCATCCCCAATATAATCACCTTACGTCTATCAAGAAATAAAAAAATGATCCAAACTACGCCATAGGATGTAATATCCATAGCAGGATAAAACACTTCCTTGGTGCCGGGTAACTTGCCAAAGACAAATGCGCTATTGAAAAATTTACTTGTGGATTTTCCCGTCACAGTCAGTGCTTTACAATTTAAAATTATTGAGTGATGTTCGAATTCCTCCCTAAATATAGCAGATCAAAGTTGCCGTTTTTCTGATGGTATTTTACGGCGGATATGAATTGCATGGATGGCAAAAAGTAAAGTTTGTTACATTCTTGCTAAGTTTATAATAAATAGTATGTGAACAGTATAACTTAAAGTTACCTTTTGGAAAATGTAGGTCAAGATGTGAGAAAGTAAGCAAAAGAAAGTAATCAAGTGTGTTTCAACGTCCTTCCCGTTCCCTTATATTTTCTGGTGCTACTACTCGAATTGAGCTAATTTAGCAAGTTTCAAAATGAAGTTGCAGACCAAGATTGAGAAAACGAGTAGGGGAGTTAAAATATTTAACAGTGTACTTTATAATAATTTCTTTAAAAAAATTGGAATAATCATTAAAAATACATATGCCATGATGTTGGTGCTTTAAACTGAGGATTAGTGTAACTGATGTCTATTTAATAAATCCACAATACGAAACGCGTGTCCATCGAAAAACAGATCATTATCAAAGAAATGTGAATTACCGGTCACTTTTTCGAACAATCCAAATTGGATTCGTCTGTAATAGTCGACTTACAAAAGGTGTTGATGACGGGGACTTCGTTTGGCTTTTGTGAGTTTGAGTAGAATGAGGCTTTTTTAGTGAGCCCTGAGAAACTGTCACTTTTATAGGTACCACATTAAGTAAAACCCTATATATCATACTAGAATTTCTAATTGTAGCTCTTTCTATAAAGCTCTCTTAGTCCAGTCAAATTAGACTTTAAAATGCCTGTTTCGGGCACTAAGTGGATGAAGGTTAGGATTGAAGGTTAGGAAGGTGGAAAAGATTATCGGAAGTTGTTCAGAAGGATGTCAAAATATTGGGACAATAGTTTGCCCGCGATTTCCGGTGTGGAACATGGTATAAAAACATAATCTAAGAAAGTGCGAAAAACCGTTTTTTGCTCATAACGTTTAATCGTTTTTTTTAAGTATGAAAAATACCTACAATATGAAACAAAATAAATTAAAATACGTTCAATTGTTGACTCAAAAAAAGTTTTTTTAAATTTTCTATAATTAATTTAGTTTTTCTTCAAAAACTCGTTCTATAACTTTTTTGAGGGTCTTTGTACACTTCATAAGTGGTGTAATAATGTAGTTTATAGATTAAAATATTCATAACTTTATTTGTTATGTAAAAAAGGCTATTGCCAGTTCTAAATAAATTTAAAAAAAGTTATACTACAACGTACAATAAAGGAAAAGTTGATTACTGAACGGTAAAATTTAAATTAAATATTTTTTAAAATCTAAAGTCAAACGTGATTTGTTATTATTTTTCTTTTTCCAAAATTGATGCTGATCTAAATATTGATGCTTAAATCGGCGGTTTTTTTTTGGGTAAACAAATCAACTGTCTTTAATTTTCTTTGTCTCATAGTGTAGGTATTTTCAATACTTGGAAAAAAGTATTAAACTTTTTTCAATAGCATCAAGGGTTGAAAAGTAATGCGCAAAAATACCGTTTTCGGCACTTCCATTGATTACTTAAACAATGTTCCCCAGCTGGAAATTGCGCGCAAATTATTGTCCCAATATTCTGACATTTTTTCGATCAACTTCCAATAATTTGTTACCTTCATCTATTTAGTGCCTGGAAAAAAATCTACTAGACCCGACTTGACTATCTCATAATCAAAAAGTTTAGCACCATTTTGGTTTTTGGTAAATATACCTTCACTACTAGAGTACCATAGGAAGGAAAATTTTTGAAAATCAGCAGTGGAGAGTTTCTGAAGAAATAATGGGAAGATGAACGTAAGTAGAGAGAATTCAACATCTTCAACTATCTGGTAGAAAATCGGGAGAATATGAACCAAAAAAATGACGCAATATGAAACCGGAGCATTGGAATTAATGAACAAACTACAGTCAAAGAGACAATATAATAAGATTATGCTCACCTCGTTCAGCTCAGAAGATCACATCCACGAGTCAGCGGCTTGGGCGATCGCTAACCTGATTAGACGAACTTTCAACCACCAAGACCTGCCCATCGCATGAAATCGGGTAGCGACCGAACCGGCACATCTCGAGCGTGCGCTTTCACCCTCAGGTTCCGGTCCTCGGTTAGGAGAACCACCTCTCGGAACAGATGTCGAGGCTCATTCTTGGGCTCGGCCTGTTCCTTGCTGTGGTCCTTGCAAAGCATCAAACAAGTGGCAAGAATCTTGTCGTCGTTCTTTAGGGTGGCGTCCCAAGTGGAATCGTCCTCAGTACTAAAGTTGGTGGTGGTTAGAAGCGCGCCTTTGGTCGTCACGCACTTTATAGACGGATGGCGCTTCTTCAGGAAATCCAGCGCTGAGCGGCAAGCCTGAGCCACTTTTTGCACGTGCTCAGGACTGGGGGAAACCTTACCTCTCGCTGATGGAGAGGAAGTGCCTTTGCTAAGCCCTTCTAGTTCGCTGAGAACTGAAATCATAGGTGTAGTTAGAAACGGAACCCCAAATGAGGTGTAGCGCAGCTTACCTACGATAGGCACCATTAGCGTGTAGGTGTGCGATTTAGTTACTGTGCAAATGCTATCTAAGTGGTCGATAAAACAGTTGGTGTCTGGAACGAGGTTCTTGGGTCTGATCTCTACGTGCACACTCACTATGGACTGACTCAAAATTTTCTGAAACAACAAACATTTTTTTAATTTTCAGCACCTGTTTATTGAGCCAAAAGACCGTTACTCCGTTAACCACCAATAAACCTCATTGGAAAAAAAATTGTAGATTCTTATCGAAGGCTATCTGGTTTCGTGTAAATCAAACGACATTTACATAATGAGTGCCGTTTCGGCGACACCCAGCCCTGCACCACAATGGTACCGCTAGTTTTCACATGGAATGCGCGGATGCAGGCACATCTTAGTAAGAGCTTTGAGTATAAAAAAAAGCTGAAAATCGAAACGTCGCGAAAAGGCCGATACTTTGACGATTCATTACACCTGCATTCATGAGAACACCGAAAACGTGACACTCAAAACAAGTATTTTTATAGCAATATTCCATTTGAATGCGTTTGAGCTTCGTTGCCAATTTTGTAACTTTTTAAATTGGAATAAAACTAGCAAATATTATTTATCACATTATGGATGGATTCAGTGGAACGCTTAAACTGACTACTCGCAAGTTATTTTCTGTTTTTGAAACTGTTCAGCTCTGTGTATGTTGAGGAGGTTTTTTGCGACGTTAAGAGCATGACTTGGTGCTTCAGGCTGGTTTCGGGTTCATACGCAAGTATTTGATCGATAATCTGCAACTCTTTGACAAAACATATACCGCACTAGAAGTATAACCATCATATTTCTAAGTTTAAATTGTTTAGGAGATAATTTCTTCGTGGCGCGCAGATCATGCTTTAAACGATTAGAAACTGGCTATTTTGCCTTGATAGGAGCCGCTCTTGTTCTGTATGTAATCGAGGCTCCTAAATGATTACCAACATCGATTCACATATCACAACTTTCGTTTTAAAATTCAAAACCTCTAACAGAAATCGAGATTTTAATACGGTGAAAAGTTTATGTTCAACAAAGACATTTCTTCCTTTCAATAGACCAAGTGATTTGATTTCGAAATATGAATGAAAATAAAGATAAATGGATCAAACTTCGTGTCTAGGCTCTTTTGAAGTTCTGAAGTCTGCAGAATAGCTGCAACGCCAGCAAGAAAATATATTTCAAAACCTTATCGCAAGTTGCGATGTTTGATCATCTTATTTTGACGGTTTCCGATATATAAACTGTTTTACACTTTTGTCAATCTACAAGGCTTATGAGAAATTTAGGACCTTTTTGCTTTTATCTCCTTGATTGATAAAATCTGTGAAAAATAGTTGTCGAGACAGGTTGTCGAAAAGCTCCTAATGACTTAGGGCTTGATAATGTATAATAATAATAAGGGCCTAATGACTAAGTGCTTAGATTCATTCAGTAGACATCTTAAAATGGACAAACCCCTACTAGAATTTCCAACGCATATAGTTCAAGTTTTTGAACGCATATAGTTCATTGAATGTTCTTTGAATATATTTCCTTGACCGATGAATATGGTATTTCCTGCTATTTTCCATCTAAATTGTTCCAGGTTAACGTGTTAAAATTTGTCGTCTGTTTGATAGATTTTAACATCTGGTATCGTATCGGAAGCATTTGCATAATTTATAACTATCGGAAGTATTTTATTGTCATAGATCGATATAAATATTTAAATTTTCCAGAAAAAACAACTTGTCAGTTGCAAAAAGAACACTGTCCAATTCGCATGCATATTCCAGCTTGGGATTTATCATAAAATAGAATTGAAAAAAATCAATAAATCCTTAATAAATCAACATTTATATTTGATGAATAATTTTCATAGAAACTGTTCTTCATTCACAGCACGCCGCCCTTTATCTGCCATATGCAGGAATTAATATATGTATTTTTATATATGGACACTGAATAATTTCTTTGAGAACGGGACTTCAGTCCAAATGTTAGTTTATCATTGGAACTATTTAGTTTTGCATATGCATAAATGAAACATTACCAGAAAATTACCAAAACCCACGTCAGTAATCGAATTTTAACCGGAGCTGTGCTCCCACACATTATAAGTTAAGTTCTAATATGCTTCGGATGTGCTAAAACCTTTCAGAAACGCCATGAAAATCTAAATATTTTTTTCGTACTGTTCAAATAAAGATAATTCACGTCTTCAAAGGAACAACGTAAATTTTCAAAAATATTCAGAAGAATTTATCTGCTAACCGATTCTCCGCAAATAAAATATTCAGCGAATTACTCTTTTTCGCCCTTAGCCGGTCGACTAAGAAGAACTCAAGAAGTAGCAGGACTGGCGGCGGAGGCAGCAGGAAACGACCGGTTCGCTTGTGTTTTAAGAGTGACATTAGTGACACCGTTGTATTTGAGGATGAGAATCGTTTAAAATCTCATACGATTGGTATGCATGCGAAATGCAGCAGGACGTGGGTGTCTGCCTTAATCTGCTAAATAAATCACGCGGTCGTTCTTCCCGGTTGCAATAAATACAGATGGACAATGTTGGGTGGGAATATGTTAACTCGGCTATCTTTCGCTTGATTTTGCAAATAATACGAAAAAATCTGCCTTGAAGTAACTTTCATCTACTAGCTAAGGTACACGAGACTGCCTCAATTCCTGAAACTCGCAAAGGTTAACAATAATAAGCCCAGACTGATCATAGAACATCTAACCAGAAAAGCCAACTAATCATATGAAATATTCAATGTTAGGTAAAAATCAACATATTCAGGCTAATTGTGAGAGCGATCCAATAATTGCGAATCGGAAATTCAGGCAGCGTCACCTCGATCAGACGACAATTTACGATGCGATTTTCTATCGACATTTAGATCGCATCAATAATGCAATATGCACGTTGCAATTTACACGAAATATATACGTTCGAATGGTTCTAGGGAATCCATTTGGTTCAGAGCGGACAGTTTGGTGAGAAACTGGAACGGAATGTTGAGAACTTTACATTCCTGAAAGCGTTTAATATTTTTATAACCATTGTTGCAAAAACTCCGAACAACGATAAAACCCTAATGATTATGGTCATTGAGAAACGGAAAAAAACCTACACCGTTATTGAATGTTTCAGAGTTTGGTAATGTGAAACAGAAGAAAGAACGTGTGTCGTGACAAACGCCTTCCGAGAATTGTCTTCAAGCAGACTTTACACATGGGCAGACAGCAAAAATTACCTGCTAAGGAACTTAATTTAATACTTGAACCTGCTATTAACAAATTACTTTGATATGGAATTCTGGGCACAGAAACGATTATTCTCATTATTCTAGCGATGATGTAAGACTTCGACCACAGACACAGCAGCCTAAAATTCAAACAAGACTGAGAAAATGGAAGAAAAAGCAAGACTGAATTTAGCAAAAGTCGACAAAAGCAAATAAATGAAGCAATGGCACAACATAACTTGGGCTAGAACAAAATATATCAACTATGCCTAGAACGAAATCAAAACTAAAAGCAGATGATATGCATATTTGCTGGAAGGAAGAAAAACATTGCAAGAAAATATTGGATGACCGCAAATACTATACTGCTTTGGACAAAAAATACAATCAAATGCCGAAAAGAGCTACATGACAAAGACAATGCATTCAAGAAACTAAAAGAAATTATTTGCAACCCTTGGAAGAGAATATGAAATGTAATGAAACCTTCAAATCAGTACGACTTGAGAGGAATACGTAGAAGATTTCTTTTAGAGAACTCTAACAGTGACAGAACTACAGGCACTGACAAAATTTTAGTCGAGCTATTAAAAATCTTGAACGATGAAAACATACCGTGCCTGATCACATTATTTATGAAAATTATTAATCATTAGTAATTACTTAGTTAAATAAGTTTAAAAACCTCAACAGCGAATATATAAAAAATGTGAAGAGCAATTAGATAACACACAGTTTGGATTCAGAGGCAGAATGGGAACTATTTGCACATCGCTTGCCTTGATTATTAGAAAACTGCAGAAAACCCGAAGATTTCCAAAGCGTTTGAACGACTCCAACCCGATGACTTTATTCACTCACACTGTAACAAACGCGATTTGGAGACCACACCGCAATAATAATAGATGATATAGAATATCCACAAGACCTTCAAAAGCTGTGACATGCAATTTTTTTAAATATGAATCGAATTTACATCTCCATTACATTTGTCTAGTTCCAACTACATGCATTTTCTAGCATTTCTAATATGCCTTGTCCAGGCTCCAGAATTTCTTGCATTTACCAGATGGCTTATGGAAAGAACAATAAGCAAATGTGGCAGCAGGTCTCGCTTCTTCGGCCTGGCCAGTTGACATTCCTACGATTAACTCGGATAAAGTACGAATGGTGCGACGCGATAAATCACGGCAGGACCATTGTCGCCCATCGCTGATTAGACGATGCTCCGCTCCGCTCCCAAGAGACCGATTTCTTACTCTACGGTAGTTAGGTAAACATTGAACGGAAGAAATACGGGTAATGCATCGGTATTACCCGCTCGCAGGTACTTGCTGCGAAAGACGTCCACTTTTTTCTGGAGCAAAAACCAATTAAGCCCTAAACGTCGATTCTGCGGACGTGTAATCATTCGGCATGGTTAAAAAGCAGTTAAAAGCTCCTGTTTTTATAGATCTAATGCAACTACATTGCTAACTATTATCTGTATAGCCAATAAGTCACCAAAAGTCCCATTCTAAGAGTTATTTTCGTTTAAAAGCAGTCAAAACGCATGGTTCTCAGACCACAAAACAAAATTTCCTTGACTCAATCCATATATTGAAAACTGTCCAGTTTCGGAATAGCCAAATCCAGTTAAAACATGATGTTTTCAACTCCCCCCGTTATATTTTCACTATACAATAATGGGTTTTTGTCTAGATAAATCAAAGAATCCTAAGCACTACTACCGAGAAATCTAGTGCGTAATCCCTTCCAATGCCAATGATTCACAAAAGAGCTGGATTCGAAGAAAACGGGTGACTTACTAAGACATAAACAAGAGATTGTTTGGTTCTACATCCCATTGCTGCATTTTTTTAAACTTGCAAATTATATATTGTGTAATGAAAAACAGATTGTAATCGATATTTGCCTATGGTCAAGCCATTTTAGTCTCCAAACTTTTTAGTCTAAGAGCCAGATCGATTGCTCCTGAAACCTGAAAACTAACCCAAACAAATTAAAACAGCTTTGAAAATTAAAGGATAAACAGGGTGACCCACAGGGAACCACTTTGATCGATAGATGATGGCAAACTACAATTAGAAAAATTGGCCGACAGAAAAATCACTGCGGACAAACGATCCAAAATATTTTCAACATATACACTTGCCGGAAGTAGGCAAAGTAAACGGGTTCATATTTTATATGGAACATCCGATATTAATTTTTTTATATAATTTTATTAACTATAATTTTAATTACTTAATACAGAATGTAAAAAATTAGTTTCAGACTTTTTTTAATTTGGAAACCTCAAACAGTAATAAATTTATGTGATTTATAATAGACACAAATATAAAACGAACAATTATCTAAATTTTGTATGAAGTTTATGGTAAAAGTTTCCAAAATTTTGTCTGCCAATTTAATATTTTTATTTGCCATTTTGCTGCGAATTTTCAGTGCAGTCACGTCAATTACCGTTTGAAAATGTCGGTAGTATTTAAGTAATCTCAAGAACATGCGAAAGGTTTGGCATGCCATATCCGGGCCAACAGAAACCATGTGCTGTTAAGCAAATTATAAGAAAATATAAAATAAACTAATAACTTAAATGTGAGCGGTATTTTTGTAACGCTCTGTAGTAATATTATTCAAAGTATAAAAATCCTGTTAAGTAAGTTTTTTGAAAAAGGCCCCAAATTAAATAATAAATAATTYCTTATAGAAAAATGTATTARTGCGCTATTAATGACCCGAACAAGTGAAACATTTACAATAAGTAACTTAGCTTCAAAKTGGCGCTGCCATTTAGGCAGCCTTTCAACAACATATCAAGCTATAAAAGGTCGTTTGTTGTCGCAGTTTTTTGTTTAGTTAGAAAGAAAATCATCAGTAGCGCGTCCCAAAATCAAGTTAATTATTCTGTCGCTTTAATGTGAGCCAGCCTTTACACCAAACATCAAGCTCCAATGGCTGAAAATTTCATAAAAAAACGAATAAAACTTCATAAAAATTCGGTAGCAAACATTTAATTTAGTATGAAAATGTTTAATGCGCCGTTCGGTTTTGTTCACGTTATCATAAAAACGAGTTTTAACGTGAAACCTGCCTTAGAAAATATTACTGTGCGAACAGGCACTTTGTACAAAATTGTCAACAATGAAAAAAGTGAAATTGAAGTGCAAAGCAAAGCAAGGCGATCATCCAAAGGGCGATCGAGCAAATGATTATATCATCATGTTGCTTCGGTAGATCGGTGCCTTAGAAATACGGCAAAAAATTCGAAATTACATGAGTTTGTTCTAAAAACTGTTTGAATAGTCAGTTCCTTACAGGCAATGGATGAAATATGTTGCCCTTTGCCTAGTGTGAATCGCGTTTTGAGATCGGAAATATAGAATCATTGTGGCCCTTATGGCAAGTGCGGTAGTAGATCTTTTCTATTACTACCGCATTAGAGTTTTTAAAGTTAAGTGCGTTTTCATTGTGTGATCAAGTGTAGTGTGAACTTTTTGAGGATTACCTAATGGGCGTAAAAAGGAGAATGGGGGCACCAGTTTATTTAAAGCTGGTAAGAATGATCTCTGATCTTCATATAATTTACAACTTTTAGCTTCAACTCATTCGTACATTTTTGGAAAAACAACTGAAGTTTAATGCTTTTCTTTATGTTTCTTATTCTTTACTTTTCTGATTTCGAATGAAATGGCTTTGGACATATTTCCTGTGGTACTAAACACATTTTTTCCTTCTTTCCAGGCGACTCGATGCAGCTTTCGGTAAGTTTGGCATTATTTTCCCCTGGTTTCGATGTAGACCTTTTAGTCCCATATTTTTTATTTGTATTTTATGATATTGTAGCACATAATTATTCGACGAGAAACAACGAGGGAGTTCCTGATTGCTTGGATTGCTGGACTTTGCAAGTATTACAGTCTACATCTAAAATAAATGTCGTTCTCCTGTGTGCTTTGAATCAATTATTAGTGTTTCTCTGTTCTCAATTACACTATAAACCTAACACTACTGTTATGTATTATCAAACGAAATTTCTCAGATTTACAAACTTTAATTTTTTCATTCAGTTTTTCAACATTAAATGGTCATGTTGAATGTCATCTGGGGTGTTCTGTTGCGAACATACATTTTAATTATCTTCAAAGCAAATATATTAATTATTATTGTTTCTCTGTTGTAAATTTCTATTTTGCTATTTTGAAAGTTAATCCACACCCAGAATCCACACTAAAGTACCCAAAGGTATGTAAATCTTATTTATTACTTTGTGATGGTATAGCGGATAGCGCCTTAAGAGGCTGCAAGTGGTCCTCGCCTACTAATTTAGATTTCGTGCTGTTTTTCCAAGTTTAACACACAAAACAAATTATTTTTGCCAAACGTTTCCCGCTAGGGATTTTCAGACTTGCATATGAAACTTGTGAGGTTTTCGTTTTTTTTTGGCCGTCGTATAATAGAATTTTTTCCTGGCGTTATGTAAGCACGAGTGGTTTGCATCTTCAGAGGTGGTTTACTTGAGAGCTTACACTGTACTAATAAGCTCTCAAGCAAACCACCTCTGAAGATGCAAGCTATTCGTGCTTGCGAAACGTCAGGAAGAAATTCTGTTGTACGACGACCGAAATATACCGAAACTCACAAGTTTCAAGGAATGGCCTCGAAATGGCCTATCTCTATTTATAGATTTGCGGATGTTCTAAATTAAACCAAGTAATGTGGTTTTAGGGAATTTCAGCGGTCTGGATCCGGACGACAATTTATTTCGTAGAAGTAGATAGCAACCAGGGTTGTAATTTTTCTTTGATGGCATTTATGATGCTCGCGTGTGCAGATTTGTGGATTTTATGCTGCGGAATTCCTTTTCGCGTTTTGCTGATTTTATATTGTGTTTTTTTGAAAATCGTAGCTTATTTATTTTCGTATGCTAAGTTATAATACTTGCTATGCAGTTTTGAACTATTAATAGTTTATTACTTATATAATTTAGGTACTTATTTTGCTAACCTTTTTTTTGTAAGTTAAAAAGGTAACTTTCTAAAATGCTTTTGCTTATACCAGTTGTTTCTCATAGCTTTGAACTGTTGATGTTTCAGGATATTTATTGTTTCTTGCACTAATTTTCTGGTTCCTAGGGATTTTGGAAAATTTTGGAACTTTGGGAATTTTTTTAGACTATTACTTATTTTGCTACGATATCATTTAATACAGCAAGTCACTTTTTGAAATGCCTCATAAGAAAAGCTCGTCGTAATTCGTAAGTCAAATTTTGCAATAGATCGCTTGTAATATACAACCGCCCTGTTTCCATATAATTCAGTTCTTAAAAACAACTTTCCGGTGCATACCAGTTTTTCCTTGAGCCAAATTAATGTAATCCTAGCTCTTCTTATACAATCTTCAGTACAGTGTCGAATGATTTTTCATTTACCAAACAGCATTGTTCACGTGTATCTAGTATTAGCCATTTACAAAGTAATGTTAGAGGTTGAGATGCGTGGGTCGTGATCGTTAAAGTGCAGATTGCAACCAAATTCGGTTCCCGTTAATCCCTCGGGCGGTAATTGCCGACAACGAGCTCCTTGTCTCAAATGAAGTATGAAGCGTTGTAATTCGATCTAGCCGAGATTGATTTGTTTATAAACACGCCAAGAAGCGTACAATCGATACTGATTTACGGTGCGGTAACAATTGTGTGGCGAAAAAATTATCGTGAATCGTACTTGCTTGCGATTTAACAAACCGGCAACAGTTTAAGATTTTAAATAACAATAATAGATAAATCGCATAATAATTTAAACAAATATGGCCCTCAACAACGTAATAAACCTCCTTAGATTTGGATGTCTGGTAAATTTTAAGAAAAGAAAAAGCAAGCGCCACTGGCGCCCATTCCCAAACTGAATAATGCATACGAATGCACGAAAACCGCAACTCAAAGATATCCACTTTGAATTATTCAGTTTCTACATCTGAGTTACCGATCACAGCTTGTGCTGCTCTAGAAAGAGCGACGCCAGCCTGAACCCTAGCAGTGCAGGTCGAATGTTCAATGAGTCAAACGGATCAGCGAAATAAATATAAAACCAAAAAACACTTACCATTACACGGTGCTGGTGAAGTTCTTGCTTCCGATTCTTCTCCTCCAGCTCCAATTTCCTGTGGAGCAGATCCTGGATTTCGGCTGACGCATCAGTCGCAAGCTCAGCTTTTATAAGATCGGTATTTGCATCCGACGTCTCTTCTTCGTCGCCACTGAATGTTTCCAACAGAAACTCATCACTTCTAGTCTGAAAATTAAACAATATTCATAGAAGATCTCAGTTCAAATCGATCCACGATCTTTGACAATTTGCAACAAGACCAATTACTTCGGCGCCCTTCATAAAGTTCTCCAGGTCTTAATGAACTTTCTTAATGGCACTGTCGCGAAGTCTCTGCTTTAAGGTCAACGGAATTTCAAAAGCAATTATCGTCTATTGAGCTTTCACTTAATAATGTTAATTTCTTGTCAGGAAAATCCATTAGGAAGTGTCTTGTTACATAGCGAATTAAATTAATGGTCCACCACATCAGAAAATAAATTTACATACATGTAATAAAGCTTTTCGTTCAGAAAACAATCATCAAGGACTTTTTAGGACAAGGGTTTAAAAGAGAAATGTTTGATTTTATTTATCTACTTACCAAGGCAGCTTCTTCACGAGGCGAATCCTGCCCACGATCGGTACAGACAACAGACACGTACTCCTTTCTATCATCTTCGATTTCCAGCTTCAGTACGGGCGGTTCCAGGCCGCAGAGAAAAACCGTGCCGAAGAACAACAGCTTGGAGATGCGCAATTTCAGCTGAGCAGTCTCAAAGTCAAAACTAGAGGGTGCAAACGTTACTTTTGGGTCATGTAGTATTAGCGGCGTAAATCCGCTCAGAGTAACATCTTCCTGCAACCGAACGACCACGTGATCTAGAAAAGAAAAAAAAATACTGAAAACCTTTCGTGGAAGACATTGTCTTGAAGCTGAAAGCTCTAAAGTGCAAGAATGATAAAGCTCCCGAAATGGAATCGTCAAATTTGTGGGCGGGGGCATCTACTCGCTCCCTCGACTTTTATTCACCATTTGCTCATTGCGATCGAGAATCCTCACCGCGTGTTGCCTTTCAGCAAAAACTTGATTAGAATTACGGAAATAATTACACTCGATGTATAATGAGTTGAGAATAATAAGGAGACCTGCCGTTTTACCGCAATTACTTCTTCAGGAATTCTTTGTCTATGACTGACAGCTCCAAAAGGCCTTAAAAATGCGCTTGTGTAACACTCGTTGTCTCGGAACAAAATGCAATTAGACTCAATCAACTAAGGGGCACGTGGAATTAACTTGATAACAAATACAGTGACGTCGGACTACATTTGCATGGATTAAAGGTTTTAATTTTTTTCTGCAAGATGAAACCAAAACATTAAAAATAACCAGGAATTACCCTTTACTTTAATTAAGCCTTTACTACCAAATCGTCGTTAGGTCTGAAAAAGTCACGGATGTTTAATTTTGGGAATTCAGTGCCTTTATTACATATTAAGACCCGTGTATACAATACAGATAGAGGGTAGAGAGATCATATTTGTTTAATAATTTGCTAGTTGAATTAATGCTTAGCGCATCCCTTTAATATAAAAACAAAAGCTTAAATAGATAAAGCAAAAAAATAGCAAACAAGAGGTAAAGTGCAAAAACACATTGCTGCATTGCCGCTGTTTGTTTCAATCGACAAAAGGAAGAACTGCAACAATTTTTTATGACTTATGTGGTTTTCAGAAAAAAACCCTTGAGTCTTAAATCAGTCGTTGGATTAAGTTCATAACCTTCTTCAGGATTAAACTAATAGATGAAAACAAACCAAGTTAACCGTGAAAATAAATAATAGAGATGGAAATTACAAGGAGCCAAAAATATGTTATTTTTTAAATGGATATTAATTTGAAAATAATTAATTAATGATGGATGAAAGAAAATAAAATCGCTTTAGACAAAGACTTGAATTTAAAATAATAACCGTGATAAAAATGCTCTCGATGTATACAAACTGTTTCAGTAAAAGTTCGTTCTAATTTAAAATTCAATTATTTGACAAGCTAATGTTTCTTTCTAATATTCATAAGTATCTATTTTAAATCGAAATTTTATAATGTTTTGTTCTCTTTTTTTTTCTAAAATCGTAGGCACCTTATTCCCAGGCTTCAATCGATTCGATCAAGATTATCCTTCCCCTTCTGTTCGCTTAGTTAAGGCATAAACTTGAATATTTCTTAAATGATTGGGGTTTAATAATTTTCAATAAACTTTTATAGTCTGTATAAAGCCGTTGATATCATGGTCAAAACTCATGAAAGGCGAAACATAATTGTGATCACATTGTACAACGGTAAGTTTGCCTACGCTACAAGTTATCTACGCCAGATATGTAAAAATTGTAAATTATAAAGAACATCAAGCGGCTTAATTAGGTGAAAGAGGTTAAATTAAATCGTAAATTTCGTGTATTTTTACGCACAATACGAAGTAGTAACTGTATGTGAAGGAGCCTTAAGTTTGCCAAATGACTATATTAAAATTTAAAGTGGTTTTGAATGAACTTGAACGCAGCCCCAATTTCCTGGCTAGTCAAATGAGCAGTAAATAATGATAAAGTTACTCGCTTCTAGTAATCTTACAGTCAGCTTAATTTGGTAACAGCGTCATTAATCAAGGGGAGCATCATTCAGGATGATCTATTACGCACTAGTCGTATGCAATGAAAATGAATACGTTCACGTCCGAAATTATTAATGCTCCACTTTCATCCCCTACTGGGCTCGCTATGCAGCCGCCTTTTTTCACCATTTTCACTATTAATTATTCGTAATTAATGCGCCGAGCGAGTGGGCTGAATGCCGTAACATAATAGCCGGGTTTGAGGATGGCAATTATTATAATTAGGATGCTGCAGCAGCACATCCCGTCTGCAATTGCACTTTTTCCCAGCTAAATATAATCAACGTACCTTCTTTGGGTTCGTTGACAAACACCTCGGATGGATCGGGAGCTATGCGTTCCAGAATGTTCATCAAGAGTCCCAGTCTGGACCAAAGATCACCCGATGGCCTGTTAACAAATAACCATAATTAGAGAGTCCCTTTGAACAAAATACAAATCACCAGATAGAAGTCCGTATTATAAATGATAGAGGAACTAAAGAAAGAAAGCAGCAATTAACTCCATGATTTGTCAAAGACAAGTAGAGGAGAGAGTCAGAAAGCATGATCTCGCAATATGCAAGTATGGAGGACCTGGTTCACTTCTGTCAGATAAATTACTGATGCATAAAAATACTTTTTCCAAAAAATGTAATTAAGACAGTTAGAAACGACCTTGTGATGGCGATTGTAAAAGTCAGAAAAACTATTAACACCTTAACTACATCACGATAAATAAAGAACCATCAGGATCCCCAGTTAGAGAAGATATCAACAAGCACTTGAATAGAATTAACGTAAAAGTCGCGGTGATGCCCGAGATGAATAAATGGGAAAACTTATGTCGTCATGTATATGCAAAAGTATAAAATTTACAACTCACCCTACTTTGAAGTCGTGAGTGCTAGGCGGAGGATTCCAAACGGCAGTATGGCATAGCATCCAATCGCACCAAATTTTGATGGCGGGCAGTAGAACATTTGCATCATGCGGCAACGAATCCAGCATCGTTCCAGACTGTTCCTGCTCACAGTTGGCGGTACAGTGCTCCTGAAGGATCGAAAGGCAGCGCTCCAGAATCAGATTGAACATTTGTAGGGAGACAATGAGAGCGCGTTCCTGCAGCTCGGACCGGTAACCGGCCGATTGCTCAATACTGGAATCTGGAATTGAAAAACAAAGCAAATTAGCGTTATAATGGTGGAGATTCCTGGTAGCCGTTCATGTGTGCACATTGTTCAAATGGCAACAACCTCGCGCTCAAAACAGCTCAATCTGAATAGGTTGCATTCCAACAAAGAGTCATTTCGCAAATTTATTCTTCGGCCTGTCAATACGTGCGCGACTATTTCAACTAACTGAAAAAGCACCATTTAAGTCACGTGTAAATCAAAATTACGACCAAATAATGCCGAACACGCTACCGCTGGGAAAAATACTAATTTCAGTTTTCCATCGAGATCCAAACAGAGCAGTACCATGGAATGACTTTGAGTTTTACGATTACTTCACCAAATTTCACTGGACCCTCACATATTCTTTCTCATTGTTTCCATGTTTTCTTAATTAAAGGTTTGCTGACATCTTCGTTTTCTCTACAAGGTGTTATTTAAAATTGATTAAAGTGTATTTTACTGTCCTTTGTTAACTTTTAATTATGGTTTGTTAAAATGATTTTGATCCATTTGTTGACAAATTTTCAGTAATTCTGTTGAATTTTAAATGAAAGATTTTTTCGTAAACGAAGTATGTTAGTGTAAGAAACTAATATTTCTGTAAAAAATGTATTTTTTATAAAAAGTTCAGCATGGTCAGAATGGCAAATGTCAACTATCAGATATGATTTTTTTGCAAGAAAACATTATTTTGGCTTGAAAGAACGGTTTTTTAACAGCATCGAAAATCGCCCTTAGAAAATGTTGATTAAAATCCAAAAGTATATTCAAATATGAAATTGCATCAATCTACCGTGAAGAAGATTTTATATTTTCTCCAAAAATAATCTCATATTTCAATTACAAAATTGTTTATTGAGAAACCAAAAGGTCGTTGCGTTTTTATTAAGCACAGGAAATAAATGTTCATTATTAAAATTGAAAGAATAAATACACAAATTATTTAGAATGGAGAAATAAAAACACAAATAGAAATTTTTCGATGTAATTGCATTTGATTGTAGCTACTTTTCAAATCAGGTTTTTTTAATTCCCATTTAAAATAATTCTTTGATGAATTATGAATATATTTTCAATATTGCTTAGAAAACTGTTACTTTCGATTGAGCTAAATTCATACTTCATAGAAATTTCGTACAAAACTCAAAAAAAATGTGATTGTTGTATGTTGATATACAAAATTGTATGTTGATACAAAAAAAGAAATGGTGGTTTTGCCTATTTAAAAAATAAATCGATCGCAATAAAGCAAGGTTGTACAATTTGCGTTTTAACACTAGATATGAGATGAGAGTCAGAGTGAAACTCCTTGGTCCTTGATTCTAATTGAAAGTTGGTCCTTTTACAAGTCTACACATTTTACTTGTCCTGTGTATACTTTTTTTTTCGGAAAAGTTGTAAATATTGCAAACTTTTTCAAAGAATAGAGGAAAACTTGAATTGTGAAAAAATGCCCAAATATAGAAGACGAAGGTGACATCGAAACTGATGCATCCGATATGAAACTATATGAAATCGAGGATCAAATATAGAATGAAAATAATAATAAACAAGCTAGATGAAGTGAATTTTGCGATTGCACCGAACTTGAATGAATCAGAAACGAATGCAGACTCGGCGAAGAGCAATTCGAGATTGAGGCCGAGATTGGTTACGTGGTGGTGTCCTAGAAGAGCGGCGCGGAAGTCCTCAATTCGCAATGGCTCATTTTATTTATTAGCCAATAGAATTCTGCTGGTGCCTATTTAAATATTATTTCTTGTTTCTGCGACTCCTCGTACGGTATTTTAATCACAATGTTGCGCCTTATGCGCGACTGTGAGATTGGGAGTGTTCTCCGATAAGTAAGTGCGTGGTCCATTCCACGTTCCGTATACCTGAGAACCCACTAATTTGCATTTGCGGTGTGCATTTTTCCCTATTAATGGGTTTTGTTTCGGCTCTAAAGTCGCGAACGGTACAAAACCATCGGAAGTATGCGCATTATCAATATTCCAGTACGTGTAGGCAGGCTAATTGGGGGTCAAGCAGGGGACAAACACCGGTCAAGTAGTGGATCATTAGAATTGCGCTGCTGCAGTCACTTCTTCAGCTAACGGGCCCATTGGGCAAACCATAATATGCATGAAATGGTCGTTTTTTCTCCCATTAACTTAATAGCTGCATCATGAAACCTGACTGCGAAATAATGATTCCAAAAATGTATATGCCAGGACATGAACAGGAGGAGTATCACCAAGCCAAAGATAATGAATAATTTTTTGTAGGAAACACAAAGTTCAAATTTAATGCACTAAATGTAACTAATTTCCCTTTTCATCCCTATTAACATTCGCTTCTTTTTCCCACATTTTCCGACGTCCATCCGCGAGTGATCCGCATAATTATCGGTGCTCAACGTATACGCAATTTGCACGAATCAATTTAAATCAGAAAGGTGATGGGCGGCAATCAGCTGATTACGGTAATTTAACGTCTTCCATGACCATCAGCCGTGTGCGTAACTCCAAATAAACCCCGTGGGATGCGCTTTTTAACATCGTGAATGTCTTGTTTTGATTTGTTACATAAATGTTCATTAATGAACAGGTTTATTAGTGGTATTCGACGAAAACACAATCAATATCTATACCGAACCAGTTGCAATTCAGACGAGCCTTTAGGTTCTGCTCAAATAGATTCAGACAGAACTGTTTGATTGAAACTGGTTATGTTATCCGCTCATTACATGATATTTTTATACAACGTTTCGGCAATGCGAGTAGATGGCATCTTAAGAAGTGACAAGTGAATCGATTTTCACCGGGTTCTACCGGCAATAATTTAATTTTGGAAAATTATAAAACCGGTTGTGTTGATTGCAAAACTTTGCCATAATGTAACTGTCGCGACTGACTATCTCTTCGCGTTTCCGAGAGCTTAAGATGATAATCAAAACGCTTAAAACAAAACTATTCTTGCAAGAAACCACCCAATTTAACATTCAAGGAGATTTTTTTAATTACATTTTCTGTACTATTGAATTCAATTTTGCGTTTTACATACATATGTGTAGTTAGTTGTGATATAAATAATTATTTCTCTTTTAGTTAATTTCATGTCCCAACGACAATAAGCATCAAAGATTTTCAAATATTCTATGCCACATGTATCATTTTTACAAAATATTTTTGTATAAACAAGAGTGTTCTAGTTATGGCTTGGCCCAAATGGGAAGCGTTTTAAACCGAGTCCAGCTCTGGTGGTAATCAATAATGGCCAAATAATTTGCTTAATAATAAGTGTGTTTTTTGCATGACTTCGCTTTCGCTATATTTACGGTTAATCCCGGTACATTAACGTAATAACACGGATTTGGCCGTATCGCCGCTTCTTCTCTGCCTCTACGACTGTTTTTAAGTCCCCTGCGCTATTTCTTCGCAACATAATAATATACGTACCATGTATTTTAATTATATAAAATAAAATCAACGACTGAGCCTCGGACAGAGAACGAATAAAAAGTTTAATTAAAATCCCGGCCTGATCGGATCGTTTAAATCAGTTCTTTGCTTAAAACCGATAACTTTCCAAAAGCAATCCAACATTTATTGAATGAATGAAAAATTACAATTATACTTGAACCAGATAAATTCTATGTAAAGCTGAAGTGGTTTACACTTCCGACATTAAATCATCTTATCTAAAATCGCCAGTACAAAAATACGAACAACATTAACCCCAAGTTAAGATCAACGAATTCTTATGCAAATTCGGTTTGTTAAGATGGTAGATTAACATTCTTCATCACTTTGTTTTGTTGCTTTAAAAAGCGGCCACGCGTAAAACTAACCGGAAAAAAGCCTCTGCACTTAAATCGTCTCTGAAGTATGTGAAGTGTGTTTTTTTTCTTGAAACTCACGTTTTACCGTTATGCCATTCGTTATTGTGTTGGGCGTCGCTAAAGGAGTTTGACGGTTGAAAATTAAGGAGACTTTTTTTCAAGGGACAACAGCTGTTAATAATCTGCGATAACAACCCATAATGCCTCCTGCTGAAGACATGTAGATCACAGCTTAGGTTCATCATGTAACATGGTGGCCAGTTCCGGGAAGTTCGGGCTGTTAAACGCGATTACCGAAAATTTACGGCGTATTTAAAATGGTGAACCCGATGACTTGGTGAAATTCTCAAATTAGCAAGTACCGCTACATATCCATCAGCACCTTCTTGAAATATTTTAATTAAATTTTGATTGATGGAACAAACGAGCCAGAATTTGTGCCAAATAGTACAAAGCTGGTTAATGAATTCGAGAATGTGGTCGATTTTTTTAATTTGCTAATATTAATTCTTCGTATAACTTGGATCACTTTCACCTAATTAGACAGCATCAGTCGATTAATGCCGCCAACTTTGGGCATGTAATTGAAATGGTAGATGGAGGATGGTGTTATTAAACCGAAACCCACTTAGTTTGCGGACAAAAAAATCAATCTACCAAGTGAAGAAACCGAGTTACAGCAATTGCCCGTAGAAGAACAAAACACCTAGAGCGGCATTAAATTCAAATTACAGAAAAAAACGACGGACTTCTTTAATTTTATCTCTTCATAGTGGATGTGCTCTTCGGTGACCGGAGGAGCCGTCTTATGTTATTAACCTCAAACGGGCAACCTTGACAAGGTTAGCAAAAGTGAGAGATGCCCCCAGTTGCTCGAACTGTCCCCTTACCAGTGCTCACAGAGCCGGCATTGCACTACTTGTTGGACGTGTTCTAGATATGTTAATTCATATTTTAGCAGAATAAGACACCAATTAGGACAAAATATTTGACTCTTCCGATTCAAAGGACATCAACTGGCCATCCCGGCCAGTATGCAACAAAGAGGTATTTACAAAAACGGCCATTAACAGAAAATATTTCCGTAAATAATATTCATGTTGGAGGAGGAAACTCAATAGCGTATTATGTCTTCATATCATCAAAAATTCTTACAAGTAATCAA